CCTGACAATCTCAGGGGTCAGCCATCATGGTTTATAAGCTACTCAGAGATCACTTTATAAAACAATGCAGGGACAGGGCGCAGTGGCTCACACCTGTAATCCCAGCACTTTGGGAGGCTGAAGCAGGTGGATCACTTGAGGTCAGGAGTTTAAGACCAGCCTGGCCAACATGGTGAAACCCCGTCTCTACTAAAAAAAAACAAAAACAAAAACAAAAAAACACAAAATTAACCAGGCATGGTGGTGCTTGCCTGTAATCCCAGCTACTCAGGAGGCTGGAGCAGGAGAATTTCTTGAACCCAAGAGGTGGAGGTTGCAGTGAGCTGGGATCGCACCACTGCACTCCAGTCTGGGCGACAGAGCAAGACCGTATCTCAAAAAATAATAATAAAAATAAAAAATAATTTAAAAAATTAACAATGAAAAAACCATATGGGAAGTTCTCAAGGTGGTTGCCCGTGAAAAAGCCCCTGCCCAGGTGAGTCAATGGTTCCTTTTGCCTTCTGGACACAGAGGCCAGCACAGACCCAGGGAGAGGAGGGCCCAGGGATGGACCTCCCCCAGGACAAAGGGTCCAGGGGAGAACATTGGGCCATTTAACAAATAGCATTGGGGCCAAGGAGCAGCCTTTGGAAGAAGATGAAACTGGCTCCACACTTCACACTATCAAAGCCAGGACATGGACAGCCCCAGGGTAAACAGGCAAGACTTTGCAAGAACCAAGAGGAGTAGGAATCACCTTGGGGAAGATGGCCCTAACTCCAACCCCGAAGCCATGAGCATGACAAGGATGATGAATAACTCTGACTACACTAAAAAATACACACACAGAGACACACACAACACACATACACAACACATAACCAACATCAGGAGACAAATGACAGACCAGACAATATGTGCACCTCAGACCACAGAATCACAAAGGCTGACTTTCCACACGTAGAAAGAACTCCTAAAATTTGAGAAAGTAAAGACCAGCAACTGAATAGAAAACAGTGGGCAGAAGATAGAACTGAAAGTTCGCAGAAAACAGTCAGTCCTCCCCGCTGCCCTGAACGATGGCTCCCTCCCACCCCACACCCCTGAGGGTGGAAACAGAGACACAGTTACTCAGTGGCCAGACATTATAGGAGGCTGGACCAGGACCTGACCCAATTCCTCTGCCTCCTGGTCCCCCTTGAGCACCAGGGTCCCCCTTGAGCACCAGGAACTGTCTGCTGTCCCAAATCTCTAAGCTTCAACTGCTGTTCTAGACCCTTCTCCATGTTGGGCTGTGCTCATCTTGTGGATTCTGGGTCGGAAGCCCAGTGGCCCAGGGAAATTGCTGGTGTCTCAGATCCTGACCTTTTTCCATCTAGCACGGGGCCTGACGCCTCTTCAACGGGGCAGTGAGGTCCAAGGGTTGCCGGGGGTGTGGCATTCAGGTATTATCTGCTCCAAGCCATCACTTGCTCTCCTTCCTTCTTTCCTTCCTTCCTTCCTTCCTTCCTTCTCTCTTTCTTTCTTCTTTCTTTCTTTTTCTTTCTTCTCTTTCTTTCTCTCCTTCCCTCCTTCCTTCTCTTTCTTTTCTTTTTCTTTCCTTCCTTCCTTCCTTCTTTTTTCTTTTCTTTTCTTTTTTCCTTTCCCTTCCTTTCCTTTCCTTCCTTCCTTTCTTCTTTCCTTTCTTTCTCCTTCCTTCCTTCCTTTCCTTTTTCTTTCTTTCTCTTTTTGTTTTTTTGGAGTCTTGCTCTCTTGCCCAGGCTGGAGTGTAGTGGTGCAATCTCAGCTCACTGCAACCTTCACCTCCCGGGTTCAAGCAATTCTCCTGCCTCAGCCTCCTGAGTGACTGGGATTATAGGCACACGCCACCACACCTGGCTAATTTTTGTATTTTTAGTAGAGACCGGGTTTCACCATATTGGTCAGGCTGGTCTTGAACTCCTGACCTCGTGATTTGCCCACCTCAGCCTCCCAAAGTGCTGGGATTACAGGCATAAGTCATCGTGCCCGGCCCACTTGCTGCTTTCAAAGGGAATTAGGTGAAACGTTCCAATAAAAAATATTTTCACACTCCACAGTTTTATGGACTATAACTAGATGGCCTGAGGGTTTCTGGGTTGAAGAGTCCCTCGGGCTGAGACAATGGGCCTGTTTGTGCTCAGTACCTGCCCCGATGTCGCCTGGCTTGCTGACTGTTGGCTGTTCCAGAGTGTTCAGCTATTGGAAATAACAGTGCCTTTCATTTTGGGATCCCTTCCAAGGACAAAGCCAGGCACCGGCTGTCCACCCAGCACTTCCCAAGCATCGTGGAGACAGAGCGCCCCACCCAGAGCCACCTACCCAGAGCCAACCCCTCCTACTCACTGGTTCAGAGAGCAGAGCCGCCCACACCTTATGTTCCCTCTACCAAGTGCTACCTCAGCACCTGCAGCTCTAACGGAGCCAGGGGAGGATTCAGTGGGTCCCTGTGGGACCACCAGTCACAGGCTTCCCTCAGGAAAAGAAACCCTCTGGAAACTAGGAGAATTTCAGACCCAGCTGCAAACAGAACTGAAGTCTCTTGCTCCAGCCTCTGAGTACTGCGAATAACTGCCGGATTTTGACTCTGCGCCAAACTTTTAATAAAGAAAATTCATCCACAGATGTTCCACCATCAGCCAATATATTCGGTTATTGGAATCCGGGAGATTTAATGGCAGCCTGGTTATTTTATTTGCTCTCTGGGTAGAACCGTTTTTCTTGGGTATATAACATCCTGGAGGAATATTTTCCCTAGCAAATACTCAGCCGGAGACAGCAAATCCATTCTGGACCTGTCAGGTCATTATTTTGTCTTCTGGTGACTCATAGAACAGGTATTTGAACGCTTGTTTTTTACTATGTCATTAAGGAGAGATTACAAAGAAATCAGCCCGTAATCACAGCCTGTGATTACAGAATAGTTCCCACCTGATTGTGCTTGGACAGGTTTCTGTCTTGTCAGGGGTAAAGTCATTGGCCTGCTAGACTGAATTATGGCTTGATGGAAACTCAGGGCTTTTCTCTGAATATCCACTCCTGTGTCTTGCAGGGGGGCATTTTGGGTGCCACCGCGCTCTGAGACAATTTGTAAACAGGAAAGTATGAACGTGCCTCCAGCCCTGAAAGTTCTCAATGCAAGTGCATTACACGGTGGTGTGTGAGCGCTGCCTTCCTGCCAGGGAGCCTGCCGTTATGGATTACGCAGTTCTGCCCCACTCCCTCCCAAATGTCAGGCTTTTTTTTGTCTTGGGTTTGGAAATTCACCTATTTTGGATATCCCCAAATCCCCCTCAAAGAACATACCATGTCAGGTGCAAGAGACTCATAGATGCTGGACGCAGGGGCTGGTGAGAGCCGGGGAATGGGAGCACGGAGGCCCGGAGGAATGCAGGGCCAAGGAGGAATGCTCCCCAGAGGCGAGAAGGAGTCATTCCCAAAATGATGGCCCCTGAGCTGGCCCTTGGTGGAGGCAGAGAGCAGGGACAGCCGGGCACACAGGGCGGGCAGGGCAGGTGAGAGGCTTGGAGGCAGGTGGGGCCTGGCGGAGCAGATGGGAAGTGGCCAGCCTGACCAGGAGAGGTGTGTGCAGGGCAGAAACAGGCACTGAACCCCTGCTGGGGGGTTCTAGGCAGCTTGGGACTGGGGCATCACTGGTCCACCCAACCCACTGTAGAAATGTGGCCCTGGCGGCTGGGAGGAAGGGACCTGGGGCAGACTTTGACCCACAAGCGACTCATGGCCATGGGGACTGGGAGCCGGGCTCTGCACCTCTCCGGAGACGCTAGCATCTCCTTCCCTTCCCACCCAGTGGGTTAGGGCTTGCCTGTGCCCTATTTGTCATCCCGTATTTTCCAAACTGTGGTCCAGGACCAGGTAACAAGAGAGCTAGACATGGTCCCCAGATGTCCCCAGCTGCCTCCTTCTCTGACCGGCTGTTTCAGCCGCCCCAGCTTCTGTGCGGTTTCACCTTCTCAGACATCCTCGGATTCGGTTCCGCCAGGTACCAAGCACTACAGACATCAGCTTCCTCTAAGTGCCATCCACGATTCCACCTGGGAACCACCCAGCTGGCTGTCTTTCCAGGACGAATGACGGAAGTGCTGGAGGCTCATCCACTCACCGGTTTGAGCAGGTGCCACTGGGCCAGGCCCACAGGGTTGCCCGGCTTTTCCAATGCCCCGTATCACTGCCCTGCCATCCACGCTGCTGGGGGTGCCGGCTGCCCCCGAGCAGAGGGCAGGTGAGAGCAGGGTGGCTCCCAACCTCACACTGTATCTGGGGACCCAGATGAGCAGCCCTCTTCTGCCAAGTTAGTGCCAGGAACGTTGTGAGGGGGTTACTCTGACATTCTTCCTTTTCTCGCAGGAAGTGCCAGTACATTCTAGAAAGCCTCCAGACATTGAGTTGTGGCCTGTCCTGCAGAGACCTCAGGGCCTGCTGAGTGGGGCCCCACAAGGCTCCCAGGATTTAGCCCATGTGAAGCCCTGGGCCCCTCAGGGTTGCCAAGGGCTGCATGCACCTGGCCACAGTCTCCAAGGCCTGGGGAGATACAGGTCTACAGGTCCCAGGGAGGAATGTCACTCACCTCCAGGGCCTGCTGCAGCCCTAGATGAGTGAACTTTCTCTCAGCAGGGTCTCTACCCATCACGCCAGGGCTGTCTAAAGTGGGTGCCGCCCCAGGCCCCCTCCAGCGGTGTCTGTGGAGGGAAAGCAGTGTGGAGATGGGGTGTGGCTGGGGTCCCTGGTGCACAGTCCCAAGTTGGAGTAGTGCCCCAGAGTCACCTAAGGGGTGGGGGATAGATTCTAAGCTGCTCCTCCACGATGGGGAGATGGGAGGTTGGAGATCCAACAGGGACCTGCTGTACCCTCTTCCAAAAGAAAAGATTTATTTCCCTTTCCCTTTCTCAAAGAGCCACTCAAACCCGGGAATCCATCTGCAAGGACCTGGAAGTCTCGGTCAGTTTTTAAAACTCTCAGAAATGACACGTGAAGCAAAAAGATCTCCTAATGTTTTTATTGTTCCTTAGATAACTGGATAGTACAAAGTTTTCCTTTGTTTTTTACTTAAAAAATGTACTTCCCGCACACTGTTGCCCGTATATGACTTTACCGTCCCATCGGAAACCAGAGTTTCCCTAGGTGAGCCCTTCCTATCTGCGGTTACATGATTGAGCTAATTTAACAAGAAGAGAGAGTAATTCCTTTGATTATTATCAACATGAACTTGACTATGTCTCTATAAGGGTGAACACTGATTTTTTTTTTCTTTTTAGAAACAAAAACCATCCACTTATTAATCCAAACTACGGCATTGCATCTACAACAATCATTGCATAAACTGAACATACAAAGTTACCACCTCAAGGGAATAACAGAAGAACGCTGCACAATATATCTACGGGGTACGTGAGTTCAAACAACGTGGGCACAGCAACTTCACTCTACACACTCTGACCATCGCTTCAGTATGTACTAGACATGGGTCCAGGAGCTACGTGGAGTCTCAGCACAGTTAATCTAAGAGACAGCAACACAGTCAAGAAACGGCACTGCGATGGGATGCGAGTTACACTAGCCTACGGCCGGGTGCGGCCCGGGGCTCCCCAAGAGCCCAGATGCCACATCCCTCGGAGCTGACCATGATCTAAGGAAATGTTCATGCCATCCTAACAGTGGGTTGTTCCCCGGTGAGAATTGGCCAACAGTCATTGCCTTGCCTCTTTAGTATGTTGTGTGACCAGAGAGGGACGAGGCGGGGAGGAAAACCGGGGCGCCGTGGGCTGCAGTTCCAGCTGCAAATACGGGAGTTTCTTCCGATGTCTGTGGCCCGCCGGCTGGAAAGGGACAAACACGGAGGTAATGCCATCCCTCGACGTCAGAATCCGCACTGCTGATGATTTTTCAAAATTGGTATTGTTAGTATCATTGGTATCTTTTTGGCAGCGGTTTCACAGGAGTTTCCTCTGGTGAGGACGTGGGCCCTTGGCTTCCAGGCGGAGGGAGCTACAACTCGTCGGAGCGGATGACGTGGAAGAGGGTCACGTTGTAGAGGATCTGGTGGCCATTGTTCCAGGCGTACAGGGCCCGGTCCTTGGGGTTGTAGTCCAGCATGGAGATGTGGGAGTATTTGTTCTGGAAGGGGATGTCGATGTACTCGTAGGTCGAGGCGTTGGTCTGGTAGGCGTAGTGGACCTTGGTGCCCCCCGAGTAGCCGTTGGTGACGTACAGCGTGCCGCAGATGATGAAGGCCTCCCCGGCGCTGCGCTTGGGGTAGCTCGTGTTCCAGGTCTGCAGGGTCTGCAGGGACACGGGGTCCAGCCTGCTGACCACGATGTTGCCGGCGTTCTGGTTGGTGGCGTACACAGCCCACAGCCCGCTCTCGTCCACCATGAGGTCGATGTCCGAGTGGCCGCCCCAGGCGTAGTGGTACATGTTGTTGTAACCGGCATAGTCCAGGCTGCGGGTCTTGAGGATGGTCTCTGTCTTCAGGTCGAACCTGATGATGATGTGGCTCTGGAACTTGTTGAAGTAGATGGACCCGTTGTAGACCACCTGCCCCGTGCCCGACCAGGGGTGAGGGAGACGGTGGGAGGTGAAATTGTCCGTGTTCATGAAGTCAACCATGGACTTGTACTCGCGTACGAAGCGGTTGTTGTGATAGCCGTCCATGTACCACACCTGTGGAGAGAGCAGACCCAGTGGTGAGCAGTTTCAAAGACCCAGTGAGCACTTCCAAAGACCCAGCGAGCACTTCCAAAGACCCAGCGAGCACTTCCAAAGACCCAGCGAGCACTTCCAAAGACCCAGCCAGCACTTCCAAAGACCTAGCGAGCACTCCAAAGACCCAGCGAGCACTCCGAAGACCCAGCGAGCACTTCTGAAGACCCAGTGAGCGCTTCCAAAGACCCAGCGAGTACTTCCAAAGACTCAGCGAGTACTCCAAAGACCCAGCAAGTACTTCCAAAGACCCAGCGAGTACTTCCAAAGACCCAGCGAGTACTCCAAAGACCCAGCGAGTACTTCCAAAGACCCAGCGAGTACTTCCAAAGACTCAGCGAGTACTCCAAAGACCCAGCGAGTACTCCAAAGACCCGGCGAGGACTTCCAAAGACCCGGCGAGCACTTCCAAAGACCTGGTGAGCACTTCCAAAGACCCAGCGAGTATTCCAAAGACCCAGCGAGCACTCCGAAGACCCAGCGAGCACTTCCCAAGACCCAGCAAGCACTTCCCAAGACCCAGCGAGCACTTCCCAAGACCCAGTGAGTACTCCAAAGACCCAGCAAGCACTCCAAAGACCCAGCGAGTACTCCAAAGACCCAGCAAGTACTCCAAAGACCCGGCGAGGACTTCCAAAGACCCAGAGAGCACTTCCAGAGACCCAGCAAGCACTCCAAAGACCCAGCGAGTACTCCAAAGACCCAGCGAGCACTTCCAAAGACCCAGCGAGGACTTCCAAAGACCCAGGGAGCACTCCAAAGACCCAGGGAGCACTCCAAAGACCCAGCGAGCACTTCCAAAGACCCAGCAAGTACTCCAAAGACCCAGCGAATACTCCAAAGACCCAGTGAGCACTTCCAAAGACCCAGCGAGTACTCCAAAGACCCAGCGAGCACTTCCAAAGACCCAGGGAGCACTCCAAAGACCCAGGGAGCACTCCAAAGACCCAGCGAGTACACCCAAGACCCAGGGAGCACTCCAAAGACCCAGCGAGTACTCCAAAGACCCAGTGAGCACTTCCAAAGACCCAGCGAGCACTTCCAAAGACCCAG